CATTCCCAATAGCAAGAAATTCTCCTTTTTCTCCTTGCTTTTTTCTTTTTTGTCACTCTAACAGGTTGTATGGTGGTTTAATTTGTATTTCTCAACAATTCCATTTTTTAACACAAAATGGTGACTTATTTTCCAGTTATTAAAAAGCCTAGATCAGCCAGATGCTGGTGGTTCAAGCTTGTAATCCTAGCTACTTGGGAGGCTAAGATCAGGAGGATCACAGTTAGAAGCCAGTCTGGGAAAAAGCTCATGAGATCCCCATCTGCAAAACCACTAGAACCAAAAAAAAAAATAAAAAAAGACTAGCAGTGTGGCGTGGCTCAAGCAGTAAAGCACCTGCTTTGCAAGTGCCACATTCTGAGTTCAAACCCCAGTCCATTATCCACCCCCCAAAAAAAAAAGTCCAGGTGCCTGTGGCTTACTCCTATAATCCTAGCTACTCAGGAGGCATAGATAGAAGGATCATGTGTAGTTGGAAGCCAGCCCTAGGCAAATAGTTCGAGAGACCCTATCTTGAAACACAACAACACAAAACAGGGCTTGGTGGCTCAAGGTGTAGGCTCTGAGTTCAAATCCCAGTACTGCAAAAAAAAAAATTTTATCACTAAATACTCTTGCAAACAGGTTGAAAAAATAGCTTGATATCATGGATATCCCATAATTTATAAAACGATTGTGCTACTACTGAATAGTTTTTTCCAACTTTTCACAAATATAAAATTATACTGTGACTATAAAACTTTGATTCCATTTCCACTTCCTATGACTTTCCTAAAACCAAAGGACATACTACATATTTTTGTTTCTTGATCTTGACAAACTGCTAACTAGAAAAACTGCAAATAGTGATAAAACTACAAATAGTGATTAAGGATTTTTATCTCCTTCTATCCTAGTCAACACTATTTATTTTGGAGAAGTTTAAAAAAATAACTTCACTTGTTTAATATATGCTTAGTTACAAGTTGATATTTTTTCATGTAAGACATTTTTGTGCTCGTTACTCATTTTCCCTCAAGGTAGTGGTGTTTTTATTTGTTGATTTGTAAGAGAGGAAAAGACTCTGAAAATGTACAGATTACATTTTACCTGTAAAGCCTACTAGGACAAAGTCAGATCTCCCCACCAAATTCTCTATTCTATTTAAAATAAACTTCAAACCAGAAAGCATTTATCAAATGTCAACTGATACTTCATTATACCCAGGAAGGAGTTTCCTTCCAAGGAGTTACTTAGTTTCTCCAAGAGAGATTATGATTGAATGAAACCTGTCTACACTTTGAGGAGGAGGTTGAGCTTTGCCAAGACAAAAAACCTAAATAAACCCTCTAGCTTCACTTGTTTTTGGTTGAATTTAAAAACTATTAATTTTGGCCAGGTAAATTAGTGCATGAATACTTGTAATCCCAGCAAGTGGGAGGCTGAGGCAGGAGGCTACCAGGTTTGAAGCCAGCTTAGGCTATATGACAAGATCCGGCCTCATAAGTAAATAAGTTAAATTTATGTGGAGGTCAATATATAATAGATTATCAGTATCTCAGTAGCTTGGCTAAGAATACCTCTGAACAAAGCCACTGAACAGGTTAAAACTGTTGCCTTTTGTCATCCCTCTCTGTTCTCCAGGGAAGATGCCATTTTGGTTTTTGCAGAAAACTAAACACAAGCCCTGGATGACAGACAAAGACCCTACTTAGCTTGTAATTTCCTGCCCATTGTCCCCCTGCTCCAACTTTCACACCCTACAAAACCCTCTGTACCCCTGAGTTCTCTAAGATGGTCTCCCCTCTTCGTTGGTTTGCTGGCTTTCTATGTAAATCTTTTGCTTTGCCCCCACAACTTGGCCTCTTTAATGGTGAACAGCCAGACCTGGATTCAGTAACAGCATCAATTACTTTCAAAAGAATGTAACGGTGGGTACTACTGTTATAGAAATACATGGAAAGTATAAAGTAGGCCCTACATCTGAAAGTAATTAAGAGACAAAACACCTAAGATTTTAGGGGCACAAGCTACCCTACCTTACTCGTTCCCAATATAACTGTCAGGAAACTGACAGAACAGAACCATCAAAAATTCATGAATCAGAACAGAAGTGATGAAATAGTAATGAACAGCCCAAAGCTATCCTTGAATTCATGATCTTCCTGCTGTCTCCCAAGTGCTGGGATTAAAGGTGTGTGTACCACCACAGCTGGCTATAAGTGTTTTTAGGGAAAAAAGAAAAAGAGGGGCTAAATTAGGGTGGTAGTGGTAAGAACAGAAAGATGAACGGCAAATCCATTTTGGAGACTAAAGCTATCCAGTTAGGTAAAAGGGAAGAATTTGGTTTTATATCTGAGTCACACAGAAGATATATCAATAATCAAGGTAGGGGACATAAGAGGGAAGAGATGTATACAAATGTGTCCTAGGTGCTCAAGAGATAATGTGATGTAGATCAAAATGTTAATTTAAGCAACAGGAACAAAAGAAATTACAAATAAAAAAGTTACAGGTAGACCTAGAAAAGAACTCCTACATCTACATGTGGTAGAGAAGTGCTTCTATCATCAAAAAAATGTTCACTCAGAAAATCATTTAGATTTTTAAAGTGCCAAAAAATTCCAAACAGTCTTGTTGGCAATTTTTGTGACTTTATTTTGCTGAATTAAATAAACAGATTTTAATCTACATCCCATCAAAACTTACTACATTCATTTAAAAGGTGTTATTTTTTTTTCTAAACAGTGTGTCACTAAGTAATGGGAAAAATCTAAATTTGTATGTACTATGAGATTACACTGAAAAACAGTTTTTAGTTACGAACACAGTTTATGTAAACTATCATTTTGAAAAGAACTTTTAAAGATCTTCAGGTTATATATTATAAAATCTAGAAGAGTGTTTCTTCAAAGAAAAATCTGGTCACAGAATGAAAAAAAAACCCTAAAGATATGTAGTTAGTTAGAAATTACTTGACAATTTAAATTTACAAAATATATTTGCACAATGTACTAAATTTAAAGTTGTAGTATTCTGACTTTAAATCCTGTTTATAAACACACACACACAAACACACACAAAATTACAAAGCTGGCTCAGTGGCAGAGTGCTTGCTTGGCATACATAAGGGCCTGTGTTCAATCCCCAGCACCAACCTTCCCCCATCACCAAAAAACCCCCCAAAACTAGAAAAGCAATAAATATCTTTCAGCAGAAGAGATCCAAAGCACTGAGGTTAAGTTTGGTTTTCATCTATTGAGATTTTATGTACTTTCAATAAAACTATGGCCAAAAGACATTCTTGTCTCAGGGCTCACCTTAATTATCTAGAAATTTCAACAATAAGATCTCTTAAACTCACAAGAAAAAGGTTTACAGACCTATCCTTACATTATTTCTATAAATAAATCAGAAGCTACAAATAAAATTAGTTCAAATAGAAAGTCCAGTTTTCTAGAACGTTTAAAAACTTTTTCAGTCAGGCTAAAAAAGTGTATCTCTATCTCCCCAATTACTGCATTCTTTTATTTATTCGTTCAACAATTATATTGTCTAACAAGCATTAGGCACCTTAGTAAGTGAATAAGACACCAACTTTTTACCAACATTGTCTGAGCTCCTACTGTTACTGGGCTTTCTTCTTCCCCCCTTGTGCTGAGGTCTCCAACCCAGGACCTCGAGTGCTAAGTGCGTGTTATACCACTGAATCCCCCAGGCCCTTAGTGGTGTTTCTTACCCAGTCATCTCCCGGGAATATGGCTTTTATTAACCCATACTTTAACCATCAACTCAATAGTAAATTATTGGTATCTGAATTCTTGCAACCTAAATTTATAAGACTCGTGGCTTAACAAAAACCAGAAATAAAATTAATTTTTTTTGTTTTGTACAAATACATCATCATTATTTTGCAGTTCTGGGGATTGAATCCAGGACTTACACTTGCTAGGCAAGCACTCAACCACTAAGCTACATCCCCAAGACAAAATTAATTTTAAATGTTAACTACTTTATTTTGTTGTTTTGGTTATCCTGTTACAGAATATCTACATCATATGTTGTTGATTCAGCGTGGTCATCAGTTAAACGTGAATAAATGAAAACTAAAGCAGATGCAGTGGGATAAATCTTTAGGTTTTCTTCTCCTGTGTGTCAAATCTACTAGTTAATCACAAAATATTGGTCTCTCATTGGGTTGGTTTTCAGATGCGATAAATTTTCTTCTTAAATGGAATACGATGTAATGCCCACCCCACAGAGAACTCATAGGCTAAGGTATTTAACCCTACAAAAGCAGCCTCCCGCTCCTTGCCAAAGCACGGCATGATCCACAGATCACATCGAAACCAGGGAACTCCAGACCGGACAAATTTCTCCTTCCACTTCCCTCGTTTCTGCAAACGCCGCCACCTCTTCGCTTATTTGAAAGGGCCGCCGCAGCAACGCTGGCGACAGGCTAAGAAGCAGAACTGCTTAAACGCATGACCTGACATCCCTCCACCGCAGGGTGGCCTTGGTCCAGGGACCCGGAGAGGAGCCCACCGGGCGACGGCCGCTCCCCGCCAACGACGGCCAACGAGGGGTCTCTCCCGCACTGGACGACACGCGTCCAGGCGGCCCCAGCGCCCTTCCATTACCAGCCAGCCACCCAGCCTCCTTTAATCGGGAAACGGGAAGGGTGATCCGAATCTCACCGACACAGAGATTGCTGAAAGGGTTCCCGGAAACCAAGGAATCAATGTTGGGGTACCAAAGCCGGCAACAAGCCCAACCAGGACCAGCAACCCAAAGCCTGGGATCACCACCAGCACCACGCCTCGCTCCCGGGAACCAGCGACGAAACTCAAGCCCAGGAGACCTATTCGAATTTCAGGCAAGTGAGAAAGCGCTCATTAGAGTCCTTCCTCTCCTCTTCTCCTCACCCAGAACCCCGCCGCAACAACTAGCCACTATGTAAGCTTTCAATCCCCAAGAATCGCAGTCCTAGCCACACACAAGATGGCAGCAACCACACATACCGAAGGAAACAGCTGCGCCACCACTCCGGCGATGCCAGCTTCTATACTGCGGGTAACCCTATTGGTCCAGCCAGGGAGCGCGAGACAAGCCGAGACTGCTGATAGCCAATCAGGAAGCGGCGCGCTAGGAACGCCGCCGCGATGCCGGCTGTACGCGCGCGTAGCCGCTGAGGCGTGGACCCAACTAGGGAATGCGAGTCAAAGGGCTTCCGGCCAGGTGGTAGTGGGCTCTGTTGGCGTTCGAATCCCACGTAGTGGTCGCATGCTGGGGGGTCTTAGACATTAGAGGTTGCGCGTTTGCGCCTCTCGGGCTGAGGTGAGGTTTAGTAAATGGTGAAGTCCTTCCCGGCCAGAGGGCACCCGAGGCCGTGGGGGGGGCCTGAGCGGCTGGAGTTGGTGAAGAGCCAACCCGTTGGCGCACCCAGCCGAGCAGGCGGACCGCTGTCCCGCGGTGTGGCGGGAGGCGTGGAAAACGAGGTGGAGTCAGTGTAACCGAGGCGTGGCGGTGGGAGGACCCGGGATCTCAGCGCAGCCCTGGCAGGGCTTTGCACCCGAGCCGCTGCAGCGTCCTCGCCTTCGCACCCACGTGCATCCGGGACTGGAGAGGGGTTGGCGGGCGCCGAGCCCTCAACCCGTTTGAAATCTGTGCCTCCCAGTGCACATCAGCACTGTAATGGGGTCCTGATGCCTGAGCATCTGTAAGCTGGGATGCTTTCAAAGGGGTTGCAGGAAAAAGACCGCAGGGTAAAAATCCAGAAGCAGAACTTGAACACTGACCCATTTCACAGGTAAGGTCACACCAGCACTGAATAAGTGAAATCACTGATCCGAGGTACCGGAGTTGAAATTAGATCTCTAAGAGTTTCCACCTCATCACCCACACGTCCATAAGTAAATGCAGTCGGGAAAGGTATGTAATTAACTGCTTTTTGGCGTGAGTGATATATATTTTTAAGGGAGGAGGCCAAGGAGAGAGGGGCAACTTTGAAGCTGTAAAATGGAGTGATCCAAACATGGACTGTTCAAACCAGGCTGCCTGGTTCCTTCTTTCGTGTCTTCCACTTGTAGTGTGACTTGCCTTACAGTCCGAAAAACCGCTTTCCCACGTGATTGCTATGTGAATTGCATAACACAAAGTATTAAGCGAACCTCACACGTGACTTTTACTCAATAAATGTTCATTACCATAATTAAAACGAGGAGCCAAGGGGAAATAATAATGGCCTATTATTTGGAAAACAAAATTAAAAATCCCAGTTTCTTTGAAATATCAACGCCGTCTGTCTCTGACAGTAAGCTTGTGAGTGATTTAAATTTTCTTTATGCTTTACTGTATTTTGCAAATTTTCTTATTTTACTTTGGTAAATTCAGTTATTTTCACATTGTTGGAAGTTGTGACCACCAATGAGAGCTTTTTAAAAAGTAAAGTTCTATTGACAAAAACAATCGCAGAAAGATAAAGCTCCAGGATTAGGGGCATGGCTCAAGTGTGTGGTAGAACTCGAAGCCTTTTTATACCCAGTACTACCAAAAATAAATTAAAAATAAAGGTCTTTCTTAACTGAGTGTACTCAGGTGGAAGTAGACAGAACCTTTAAAATAGACGGTTCCTTTTGAGAATGGTGCATTTAATTGCATATTTTTGTATTCTCCTTTTACTGAATTAGAACTTTACCATAAAGAATACAATCGAATTCATGAAAGCTCCCTGCTCCCTGTCTTTCACACTGGAGACCGGTGGACAGCCTTCAAGTCCTTTTATATAATTTTACTTACATATTCTCTGAAGGTACATATGTGCATTTTTAAATGGAAATAGAGTCATACCATATCATTCTTTAACTTGAGAATGCTTTTGCTGTGTATATATGTTACAACTCTATGTTATTTGGGTTGTTTTACCTACTGTGTAGTGTTCCAGTGTAAGACTGAGTTCTGCAAATATAAAATACTCTTTTTTTTCCCTCTTACTGATTTTCATATTAAATTCTCTTGTTTGTTAAGTGCTGTGTAGTATATTTTATTTGCCGTTCACCTCTTGAGGGATATGTTGCTTCTCTTTCTCTGCCATAACATTTCTGCAAGAAAACTCTTCATGCTTTATTGTGCAAATGCGCTATTTGTCAAAGATACATGCCTAAAAATAGATTGCTTGGTTTTAAGCTATGAGCATTTTTTGTTTTAGTAGGTTATATAATTTGCCTGCAAAAATATTTCTTCTGATTTACACATTCAATAAGTAGTTTATGAGAGTTCAATTTCCCTATAATCCAGAACAAACCAAATATTCTTAGTTTTTGCCTGTTGTTGAAAATGATACTTTTTGTATTTTCATGGTTGGCATGTTTAACCTGTAATTCATAATCTTCAGTTTCTTTAAAAAAAAAAATCTGCCCATTTTTCTGTTGGTTCATCTTAATGAATTAAGGAGTTCTTTGTATGTCCTGAATGTCAGATATAGTGTATAATTTAAAAATGTCTTCAGTGTCCACCATTAGTTATGTCCCCTTTTTGTTGCTGTTAAAACATTTTGCAGCCAGGTGCCAGTGGCTCATGCCTATATAATCCTAGCTACTTGGAAGGCAGAGATTTGGAGGATCACAGTTCAATGCCAATGCAGGCAACAAAAGCAACTCTTATCTCAAAATTACCTAAAACAAAAAATGGCTGGCGGGAGTGAATCAAGTTGTAGAGAGCCTCCCTACCAAGTGTGAGACCCTAAGTACAGCCAAAAAAAAAAAAAAAAAAAAGTGGGGAGGGGAACATTCTGCAAACTTTTTCTCTCCTCCTTACTTGGCTTTTGACTTTATACTTGTTTTTATTTATTTTATTCTCCAGATTTTTCTCTCCTTCCACTTTTGAGGCTTTTTTTTTTCTTTTTTTTAAATCTTACTATATTTCTCTAGGATTTTCAATACAATATTAAAGGACAGTAGTGGAAACAAATGTCCTTCATAATTTTTGTTTTGGCAGCACTGGTGTTTGAACTGAGAGCTTGCTAGGCAGGAGCTCTACTACTTGACCAGCCCTCTTTGTAACTTTCATGTCTTATTTTTGCCTTTCTGTTTTCATATGAAGTTAACCGCAGGGTTCTTGTTATTGCTGTTTGTTTTTTAGTAGATATGCTCTACCTTTTCAACATGATTCCTAAGTTTATACTTCCAACAAAGTCTTAACTTCACCTTTCTGGCATCCTCCTTATGAAGAAAATCTTGATCTAGACAGGGGAGCCATCCCTGTAACCCCACCTACTGGGGAGGCAGAGACAGGAGGGTCAAAAACAAACTAAAATCAAAAGGGCTAAAGCATTTAGGCCTTGGGTTCAATTCCCAGTACTGGAAGAAAAAGAGAAAGAAGGAAAGAAGAATGTTAAGCTTCTATTTCATTTTATTTGATCTTAACAGTTCTTTGTCTCCTCACCAAAATTAGAACATAGTCTTTCATAGTGTATTTTCTGGCATTTTTGTTTTATTAAAATCCATTTTTAATTCAGATTTCTTTTGCATTATTGTATTTTGCTCATTTATTTGCATGTACTTCGTTAATTCTTTCAGAGTCTCAATAGCTCTTTAAATGTTTGTAAAGTCTCATTTTAATATTAAAAGGTAGCTTGACTGGAAATACTATTCTTGGTTCATATATTTATACTTTTAACATTTTACATTTGGCATTTCTGGTGAGGAGTCTTATTACCAGTCATACATATTCTTTTTAGATAATCTAGATTTTTCTTGAAGTTTCTAAGAATTCATCTTTTTTTTGGTATTTTGAAGCTTATCATAGATTGTCTAGTAGTGTGTATCAAAAATTCTATCCTACGTGGTAATGAGTAGACTCTAAGCTTATGTGCTTTCCAGCTGTGAGAAATTCTTCGTCATTATTGCCTCATCTACATTCTGTATTTCTCCTTCTTTGCTCTGTGTTCTGTATAAATTATTAAGTTTTCCAGGTTGCTAACTTACTCTTTCATTTACTTGTTTATTTGTTTTGGTGTTAATACAGTTTGAACCCAGGGCCTCACGCATAGTAGGCAGGTACTCTACCACTTGAACTAGTCCACCAGCCCTCTAACTACCTCTTTATGGGAGTCTGTTATATTGTTGTCATCTGTTGAGTTTATTCAACAACTGTCTTTTATGTTCAAGATACCTAAATGGGTTATTTTTCCAAATTATATGTTATTTCATCTATGAGATTTTCTTCTTTAGCTCTTTGAGGATATCAAATATAATCATGTTTGTTTTAAAATTATTTTCAAGATTCTCTATTAATTCTCTTGAACATAAGCCCATCAGTTTGGTGGGCTTAATGTCTCATTTTCATGGTGTAGCCTTTTTCAGATGTTTGAGGACCCTCATCTCCTCTGAGAAGTTTCCTGCCCATCATTTTGTGTTGTGATTGCAATTGGCATCGTAATTATCTGCAGCTTCTTATCTGTTTCCTTTCCCCACAGAGGCCTCACAGACTTGCCCATTGAGAGTTCCTTTTTTGTTTTCAGTATGGCAATATATACTTTAAGTCTTCTAATATTTCTGTGGGTTTAATGTGCAAGTGGCAGAAGTATTTACCATATATTAACTAAAAAAATTTTTTTTTTTTCACCGTACTGGAGTTTAACTCAGGGCTTCCCACTTACTAGGCAGATAGGTGCTCTACCGCTCCCGTAGCTAGGACTACAGGCATTAACCACTGGTACCAGGCTTGATCCTTTTTTAACCTATTAGTCCACCTCTAAGTGTTTATCATAAGGAAATTTCAGAGCTATGCTTAAAATGTTTAAGCCAGCATTATTTACTATATTGAAAAATAACTTTATTTATTTTGTGGTACTGGAATTTGAACTCAGGGTTTCACACTTGAATCAGGCCCCCAGCTTGAAAAAATAAAATAATTATTTTAAAATAATTTTTAAAATAAAAAGAATCTAAATGACTAGTATGGAAGTTTATATTACTGATTAATATATTAGAATTCAATTATTCATTTGCTATTCAGCACCAAGAAAAAAAATATATATGTATTTTTAATTTATTTTCTTTGGTGGTATTGGAGTTTGAACTCAGCACCTTGCACTTGGTAGGTAGGCACTTAATTACTTTAGCCACACCACAGCCTTTTTTTTGCTTTCCTTATGTTTTGAATAGGGTCTTGCAATTTTGCCTGGGCCTTGCGTCAGACCTTGATCCTCCTACTATGCCTGTCATGTAGCTGGGATTATAGGTATGCACCACCATGCCCAGCTCAAGAAAAAAAATTTTCATTATCAAAATCTTTAATGTACTTTAATGTAGGAATTTAAAATATTATGGGGGAAAATGTTACTAGTGAAAAAGTACAAAAAAGTATACACTAAAATTCATATTTTGTTTTAAAATTATATACTGAAAGAATAATAATAATTGCCAGCTTTTTTTTTTTTTGGTGGTACTGAGGTCTGAACTTAGAGTTTCCTGCTTGCTAGATAGGCGCTCTGTTGCTTGAGTAACACCACCAGCCTATAATTGGTAGCTTTTATTGAGTCCTCTTTATATGTCAGGTTCTATTTTAAGTGATTATTAAGTCTTACCCTTACATCATCCTATAATGTAATTAGTATTACCTCCATTCTAAAAATTTTTGTAACATTTTTGCAAATGGGATAGCTTGATTTGTTGGTTAATAATACAAATGTTAACTGACAAGATACATAAAATGTGGGCAATTATGAGTGATTCTTCTGTATCATTTTTAAAATTTTGATATTTTACGCATTTTTCCAGTGAATGTATACTCTTTTTATAATACTGGTTCTTGCTGTTTTAAAAGATAAGCTGCTTTTTTTCTTATGCATTTTATTCTTTATAATAATGTACCATTCTTTGCTTTCCTTGCAGAATGTTTCTTGCATTTGTAGACCAAAAAATGGAATTGATTTTTATTTTTAAAAAGACATTATCAGTGATCTGATACAACTATAAAGATTCACTTGATGAAGATGTATGTGCCTGTTTTTTGGTTGAATTAGTGGTCATTTTTGAAAGTTTTTTCAACCAGAATTGTAAAAATTTCTTCAACAGATTTTCTGTTTGAAAATTCAAGTATCAAGGAATCTTGGGTTTATCATGGCATAATGACGATTTCTTTTGACTACGGACTGCAGATGTCATAGAGACTACAATTGGATTCCAGTTACATTCTCTAATCAGAGGTGGCTCATATTCAATCTTTTGATGAACTTAATTTTGAAGAATTTTTTGTTTATAAACAACACCAAAAGATGGGAGAAAAAAATGGTAGGTTGAAGAACAATGGTTAAACTATATCTAGAAGCTTACAGACAAGCTTAATTACAAAGTTTTTAAGACTTTAAGTGACTTCTGAATTAGAGGGAATTAAGGCTTTGACTACCTTTATAATTAATTGCCAATCAGTAATGTTAAATCAGTACTCTAATATTCTTTTTTTTTTTAAACATCACTTTTTAGAAGCAAAAGAATCTTGTCATGGTTCCTTTTCCTTGTATGCACCTCTTCCACATTGGTGTTCTCTATGTTTTCTGTATAGAATCACACCTACTTTGTGGCTTTGGCAAGCATTAGCATGCTATTGACTCTGTAGTCTGTGTGCTCAGTTTGCACAGTGAGTCTCTCCTTGAAATTTTCCACCTGTCCATCTACCTGTATTCCCTACCATCTGACCAGCATTAGTATCTTTCTTTTTGCTTTTTTTGGTTTTTCAAGATAGGATCACACTATATATTCTAGGCTGTGCTTGAACTCATGATCCTTCTTCCTCAGCCTCCCAGATTCTGGGATTATAGGTGTGTACCAATCAACACCCTTGGCTTCTGAGTGTCTTTCTTTTTTTTTTTTTTTTTTTGAGTGGCAGGAGGGACTCACACTTCCTGAGCAGTTGCTCTTACCTCTTGAGCCACTCTGCCAGCCCTTTTTTGTGTTGGCTTTTTTGAGATAGGATCTCCCAGACTGTTTGCCTGGGGCTGGCTTCAAACTGATCCTCCTCATCTCTGCCTCCTCTATAACTAGGAATTATAGGTGTAAGCCACTGGTGCCCACCAGAGTGATCTTTCTAAGAACTATATGTAAGAGCACAGCATAAGAGGCTTATACCTACCTAAGAACCATTTGTTGTGTACTTTTGTCCTCTCACACTGCATTTGTTTCAAATGTTGAAATCTTGCCTTAACTGTGCTATGGGGAATTAAAAGTAGGCTTCATGTTGTTTAGTAATATCAGACCAGAGTGTTAACAGGGAAACAGTGCCCCTCCTGAGACCACTTTGCAGCAGCCCTAATTGGCCAGAGATCCACTTTGGGGAAGGTGGCTTTCCCTCCTAACTCCTAAGCCTCTTTCCTTCTGAAGATTGCCAAACTCCATTGCCAAACTTGGAGGTTTGGGGTTTGGTTTTTATTAAGGTAAGTCTATTTTTTGTAAGTATTTGGGCTATTCTCATTAATCCTCCTAATGGCTATTCAAGTAACCTTTCTAAAATGTAAATATTACTTCCCTTTGCTTAAGGCCCTGTTAATTAATTTTAACTTATCTTATACCTTAATTTTAACATTTTATAATTTGTGTTTGACATTTAGGTATTTTTGCTTTTAAACAGTATGAGATTTGGTTTTGGCTAGTTTTAATTGCCTTTCTTGTATTTTCAACCTTGAAAGGATTATTTTTCTGAGAAAATTTTGACTCAGATAATGCTACTTGGTATCAGAAATGTTGGCTTTTTTATATAAATTTACCTATAAAAACTTTAAATGTTATTTTGGTTCATGTAATTGAAGTTAGTATAAAAAGACCTTTTTTTTTTTTTAAAGCAGTATTGTTTAGGCATTTAGTTATTTTTTAGCAGTCATTGAGATGTCTCATCCTGATACCATCTACTTCTGTACTCAGTAGAGATTATGTCTCTGTGTCCCTGAAACTTTTTGTTTTAAGTTTTTTGAGACAGGATTTCCTTATATAGCCCCAGACTGGCCTGGAAGTCAGGATCCTCCTGCCTTAGCCTCCCAAGTTCTAGCAGTACAGACATGTACCACCATAGCAGGCTATACTCTTGAAACTTATGTGTACATATGTACCACTACCACTCTAAATTAAATTCATTTCTAAAGTTAGACTAAGTAGCAAAGTACTTGGATTATATTCTTTATTTCTAGTTCTTTATAAGGAAATATCAAAATCTTTAAACTCAAGGAGAGTTTCAGACCAGTTGAACCTTAATTTTATTTATAAACCCAAGTTAAGTTGGGTGCCAGTGGCTCACACCTGTAATCTTAGCTACTTGGGAGGATGAGTTCAGGCGAATCACAGTTTGAGGCCAACCCCAAGCACATAGTTCTCAAGTCTCCATCTCCCAAATAACCAGAGCAAAAATGGATTAGAGGTGTCACTCAAGCAGTAGAGAGCCAGCTTTGCAAGTGCAAAGCCCTGAGGTCAAACCCCAATATCACCAAAAAAAAAAAAGAGAGAGAAAGAAAAACATAGAAAGAAACCAAGTCAATTTTTCAGTAACATGTGCCTCCAGGAAGTAAATGTATTTCTATTGAACTCAGGTTATTCACCTTTAATTTAGGTGATGCAAAAACTTTCTGGATGGAGCTGGAAGATGATGGAAAAGTGGACTTTATGTTTGAAAAAGTACAAAATGTACTGCAATCACTGAAACAGAAGATCAAAAATGGGTCTGCCACAAATAAAGGTATGAAGAAATTTAAACTTTGAATATACTTCATGTTGAAATTGCTCATTGGCAGTGCAGTAAAATTCTACTTTAAATGTTGTTTTAAAAGTCAAATAATTTCTCCTGTTTTCTATGAACCTAATAGTTCTATTTGCTTTTCTGTGTGCTCTACTTTTACCTTTGTGTCTTTGAGGGTGAGGGCTGTTGCAACAGTAATATCTGCTCATTATATAACATTTGGCATATATCGAAAAATTGACAACAAAGAAAAATTATCCACTATCCCATCATTCAGACACTTAGTTCTAAATATGTATAAATGTATGGAGACTAAAAGTGTAGCTCAGTGGTAGAATGCAGGCTTTACCACATGTGAGGCCCTGGGTTTGATCCAAACGGACATGTGTGCACATACACACATACAGATAGGCACATATGATCATATTTTGCCTGTTTTAAGCAAAACTTACTCTACTAGTTTTGTTTTTACAAAACTAGTGCTTTGTGTAGATCATTCATTAGAGTTTTTGTTTGTTTGTTTTTTATTCATTTGTCTTCTGTCCTGCTTGGTTGTAGGGCATGACTTTAATGTGGAGTCTTAGCACATCAGGACATAGAATTATAGAGTTTTAAAGCAACAGTTTCTCCAAACTATTCTTAGTACCCTCTGGTAAAATTTCTTTTGGTTCTTATGACTTTAATAATTTATGTACTTGTTTTAAACAAAAAAGTACTATTTCCATTTTAATATTCCTTCTCAATCCTTTCTGAGTCACATGTATATAAGTTTGAATCCAGTTCTAACACTTCTAGCTAGATTACCTAGAATAAATTGTTTAACCTCTGAGCCTCAGTGTATTGGTCTCTAATACAGATAATCATCAGAACCTCTCAAGGGAAAACTCCCAGATCCGATAAATACTTTTAGCACTGTAGCAGGACATAAAATCAGTAGTTTTTCTATGTACCAACAATGAGCAGGCTAAGAAAAATCAGGAAAACAATTTCATTCACAATAACCTCGGGGAAAAAGAAAAACCTAGGTATAAACTCAACTAAAGAGGTGAAAGACCTCTACAATGAAAACTGTAAAACCTTGAAGAAAACTTGAAGACATCAGAAGATGGAAAGATGTCCCATGTTCATAGATTGGCAGAATTAATATAAAAATGATTTTACTACCAAAAACAGCTTACAGATTCAATGCATTGCCCATCAAAATCCCAATGTCGTTCTTCACAGAAGTAGAAAAGTCAATCCTAAAATTCACATGGAAACATAAAAGACCTTGAATAGCAAAAGTAATCCTGAGCAAAAAGAGCAATGCTTGAGGTATAATTCCAGATTTCAAATTTTACTGTAGAACCATAGGAACAAAAATAGAATGGTGGGGTCAAAAAACAAATAAGCAAAAAAACACAGATCAATGGAACAGAATAGAAGACCTAGAAATAAAACCAGATAGCTACAGCTATTTGATCTCTGACAAAGGATCCAAAAAACACACATTGGAGAAAAGACAGCCTCAACAGATATTGCTGAGAAAACTGGTTATCTGCATGACAAAGACTGAAACTTGTACCCCCATCTCTCATCATGTTCAAAAATCAACTCCAGATGGATGAAAGATCTAAATGTAAGGCCTAAGACTTTGAAACTACTATATGAAAACAGGGAAAATTCTGAATTACATAGGTATAAGGTAATTGTTTTCTGAATAGGACTTTAATTGTCCAGGAAATAAGAGCACAAATGGGACTGCATCAAAAAGTTTCTGTATATCAAAAGAAACAATTTCCAGAATCAAGAGATAACCTATAATACTATAATACTTTATAATATTTATAATATTATAAACCTATAATACTGGAGAGTTGGCTTAAGGGGTAGAGCACCTGCTTTGGAAGTGTAAAACCCTGAATTCAAACCCCAGTCCCACCAAAAAAGAAAAAAAGAAAACCTACAGAATGGGAGGAAATCTTCACCATCTATTCAACAGATAAAGGATTAATACCTAGAGTACGCAAAGAGCTCAAAAAATTGAACAGCAAAAAACCAAATAATTCAATTAATAAATAGGCAAATGAATTAAACAATCACAGGAGAAGAAATATGAATGGGTTATAAATAAATAAATGTTCAGCACCTTAGCCATGAAGGAAATGCAGATCAAAATGACTCTAAGATTCCATCTCACCCCAATCCGATTGGCAGTCATCAAGAAAGTAACCAACAAATGCTGGCAAGAATGGGAGAGAAAAGGAACCCTTGTACACTCTTGGTGGGAATGTAAACTAGTGCAACCACTATGGAAATCAGAGTGGAGGTTCTTCACAGAAACTAAAAGTAGTTTTAATGAGGGCTTGCAGAGTGGCTTAAGTGGTAGAGCGCCTGGCTAGGAGGCCCTAGGTTCAAGCCCCAAACCGCAAAAAAAAAAAAAGATTAAACCTTAGGAACCTGTTGAACCACTCACTCTTGGGTACAGCAAAGGAGTATAAATTGATATGAAAAAGAGATAGCTGCATACCTATGTTTATTGCAGCTCTGTTGACAGCCAAACTCTGGAACCAGCTGAGGTGCCCAACAACCGATAAATGGATAAAGAAAAAATGTGTGTGTATGTATATATGTATATGTGTACATATGTACACACACATATATACAGTGGACTATTAGCCATAAAGAAAAATGAAATTATGTCATTTTCAGAAAAATGGATAAAACTAGAGCTCATCATGTTGAGTGAGATAAGCCAAACTCAAAAAGCAAAATATCACATTTATACTCATTTGTGGAACCTATGCCTAAAATGATGATGATAACAATGACAATTATGGGACATGAATGTAAAAAGGGAACTTTCTAGAGAGGTACCATCAGGAATAGGGAGGGAGAAAGGAAAGGATACTGAGACGTTAAGGGGATTAAAGTGTGACATGTATGCATGCATATATGAAGACAGCATTAAGACAGAACCTCTCAGGAGTTGTGAAGATTAAATGTGAGGAAGTATGCAAGATGTTTAGCACAGAGGCTGGTAATAAGTGATAGTGATTGTTTTCATTCCTTTCTTCTTCTCCCCTCCCTCCCCCCTTGTTTTTAACAGAGTATATCCAAGCCATGGTTCTAGTGAATGAAGCAACTATAAGTAACAATTCAGCATTGGTAAAGGGTATGTACGTTTCTTACCCAATCCTTGAGTATTCTCTGGTATTCTCTTGCCGAGAAGCAGGCCGGCCTTAATAGGTTAAAGATAATTTGAGATAAGATGTTCAACATGGCTAAGTTACGTAAGACACAGTTTCTTCTATTAAATGGAAAGTCCTATCTATATCAAGAGGGCAAATAGAATTCTAAGATTCCAAACTCCTGTTAACCCACTTCCTGTAAAGAACACAGCCAGAAAGGTTTATTCTGGTTTAGATACATTGGTGGTCAAGTTTTTTCTTTTCTAAATTGCTTTAAACCATCAGCCTTCCAAGTGCTAAACAATCTTTATTTAAAAGGATTAAAGATAATGTACTAAAGAAAAACTCTATTCACAACGCTTTTTGTCACTAAATGTGAGTTTTCCACACCAAACAATTCTCCAGTTCTCTGTGGATACCAGTGCGGTATCAATTATCAATTGTAATTGTATCAGAATTACAATTTAATTCTGATGCTAACTGTCAGAGTTTGTACAGATTCTTCAGGTCATTCCCACCAGGTTTGCCCCCACTTTAGATACCAATCACAAGCTGATCTTCTGGTACTTCTGACTGACTTGGCTACAAACCAGAGCTTCCCATAACACTCCCCATATATTCAATAATCTGTTGTAATGGTTCTTGGACACTTATTCTTACTTGTTTACTACAAATGGTATAAATGAACAGCCAGATGAAGAGGTTCATGGGATGAGATCTGGTAAGGCCCTGAGTACTGGAAGTTCATCTCTTGAATTTTGAGGGTATATTACCTTCTCATCCTATGAGTGCTCTCCCCAACTCAAAAGCTCTCTGTACCCCAGTATTTACTGATTTTGTGTAGGTGTCATTACATAGGCATGAATGATTGAATCATTTGGCTAGGTGATTCACTGTTTCCTACCACTTCTCATTCCCTGGAAATAAGTGGTTAGGGCTGAAAATTCCAACCCTGTAATTGTGCTTTGGTTTTTCTGATGACCAGCCAACATCCTGAATCTCTCTAAGGATCCTAGTCACTACTCTTTTGAAGAATGTCAAAAGACACTCTTATCCTACTGGAAATTCCAGGGGGTCTTACAGGCCCTGATGTCAGGAACCAGGAGATATGATCAGATAGGACATGCTCCTTTCACCTCATCACTCTGGAAATTACAAGACTTTTGGGAACTCTGTCAGGAACTTGAGCAGACCAAATATATATTTCTTGTTATGTTACATGTACCAAGAATAGAAAAAGGAAAAGTGAAGTGATTTTATCAATACCACTCCATGGATCTTAGACTATTACAAATTTGCTAAAATGTTGAGAAAGTAAGATGTTTACCAGATTTTAATTAGTAGTGTTGGATATTGTCAGCACATTTTACTTGTTTTGTTTTACTGTCATAATTTGGAGCCATGAAAACTTTTAAATCTCTGAAAATGTAGTCTTGTATCACCAGTTTATATTTTAAAGAAACCTTTTGTTTTTGAGACTTTTTCTCAATTCCAGTAGCTATTTTAGAAAAATAGGTTCTTGAAGAAAATATCCTCCCTTTCACAGTATCCTCAATAACAGTTGGAGTTATAATGGAAGAAACCTTTTTCTCTATCTCCGTAGCTGGGATTGAGACTGTGAATTAAACTGACAATAGCAAATTAATGGGAGAAAAGGCATACAAGTTTATTAACTTTCCATTTTATGTGCACAGGACCATCACAGAAAGAAGTGAATACCCAGAGCAGCAATGAGATTTGAGAGCATATTATACCATCTTAATAGGGGAAAGGTAGGGGCGGAAGGGCTTCTGGAAGAACAAATGGCTATAGAAAAGGGTGGGGGAGAAGAGGCACATTTGGAAGCATAAATGACTTTTGAATGGAAATGGACTCTAAGAAGAATAGACTGAGAATAAACTGAGAGAGATTCAGTTTATGGGGTCAATTTCCCCTGCTCTGTGGTGAGTCAGTCTTTCCTGACTGAAATTCCTGGAAGAGGGGATTTATGACAATTGATTTTTTTGTTTTGGAGGACCTGTTTTTAGACAGTTAAGACGAGTTCAGAGAAAGCCTCTTCCTGCATTTATTGTTTTTCAAATGTCTTCAACTCAAAATAATCCTAAAGCCACTGGCACATCTGGACCCTTTCAGAATTAACACATCCTTAAGGGATTACATTAGTTTTGTGAGAGAGAGGTTTTTAAATGCAGGAGGTAGTAACAAGGAACTAATTCTAAACAACTTGTTTTTTTCCTTTATTAAACAACTTATTTTCTGTCAAAAGTAAGTTGAGTTTTTGTTTGGGGTCTTCAAAAATAATTTTATCAAGAGAAATGCTAAATATTATAGTTTCATATTTTATATAATTGTTCACCTGAAATACAATAAATTAATCAAAATAAAAGTGTATCTTTTGCCACTGTGGTGGAGAAATGTTTTTAAGTTATTTGGGACAGTTATGTAATTTACAGTGTTAAATACAAGTGTGAAAATAGAAGCATTAAAACCTTTGTGCTAGCATGTATTTAAAAAAAAAAATAGACTGAGAGAAACAAAAAAGACTTGGTGTTGAGGTCAAAACAAGCCTTTGGGATCCAGCCTGGATTCCCCAGACACTGATCAAACCACTAATTACCTTTATTTTCCTTGCTTAGTTGTAACTATAAATTCAAATAATTGGATACTGTTATTGAAAAGAACTATTTCCACTTTGTCCCTTACCTAATGATTAATTTTAAATCTCCGTATTTTTCAGTAAATCTTATTTCCAATTCTGCTTATATACATTTATTTTGTTCCTGTTTGCTAAGATAGATTTATGACTCATGCAAAGAATTTATCTGGGAAGAATCAGTAATTCCTAATTTGCAAAGCTTAGTTCATTTCTAGTCAGTTATTATAGGCTTCTTCAACTATCAGATTTTAAACCTTTTTTTAACTGTGTAATTAGAGAGGTATATTTGTTTTCCATTTAGTGAAGGAACGGTTTTGGATTATAATTTTAAATTTTCTTTCATTAAACTTTTACTGCTGTTCTTTTTTAGTTAGACTCGTGGACTCTTCTTGATCAAGCTGTAGTTAGACTCCTAAACCTTCTCCTTGGCCCATTTGTGTATTTAATTATAAAATCCAACTTTAGCAAGAATCTTCTCCCCCACCCTCTGGATGTGATCATCCATGGCTTGTTGTCCTTCACCATTCCTAAGGTGATGTGGCCTATCTCCAGCAAGAATCCTGTTAGATCAGTTTATTCAGAATCCTCTTTACCCTTGATAATGCCTATTAGTCATTTTCCATCCACTGACCCCATCTTGTTCCTTGGCTATACATTCCCACTTGCCCATGCTATATTTGAAATTGGGCCAGTGTCCATCCTCACTGGAAAATCAATCCCATTGCAATACTCCTTATACTTGTACCTATTCACTGGTCCTAAATAAAGTTTGTCTTACTGTGTTTAATGTCATTAGATAATTTTTTTAACAGTAAGATAATAGTTTAAGGCAGGATAATGACTACTTTTTTCCTTAAAAATTTTTGGTGCATGGGAAAAAGTGCATTAAGAAATTTTTAAGCTGGCAGAGTGGCTCAGGTGATAGAACACATGCCAACAAGCGTGAGGCCCTGAGTTCAAACTTCACTACCACCAAAAAATAAAAGTCAAGAAATTTTTAAGCCCAACATAGAATATTCCTATAACCTATGACTTTTTTTTGATTAAATATAAAGCCTTCTATGTAATAGACATGTTAGAGGGTAAGAATAGAAAAAGCATAAAAATAGCGAAAAAACAGAGCACTTATCTAGTGTGTGCAAGGCCCTAGGTTCTCTCCCCAGCACCACCAAAAAAAAAAAAAAAAACCAACAGATAAAATAAGAACCATCAGTAGAAGAAAGGAGTCACATTCGAGGCCTGGTAGCCTGCACTTGCAATCTCACAGCTACTTAGGAGACTAAAGAAGTAGGATCACTTGAGTCTAGGACTTGGAGGTCAGCCTGGGCAACATAGTGATAACTGCATGTCAAAGAAAAGAAAGTAAGAAAAAAGATGCACAAGGAAATTTGAAAAGACAAATAGATCAGAAGAGGTAACCAAATACCTTATCCCCTATCCCCTCAAAATTGATATTTGTACAACAATAAGAAAACAAAAGAAACAAAAAGTTTACATTTTTTTGACCTTTTATAATGAAGTACACTTAATCTTTTGGTTTAAACACAAAATCCTAACATGTTCACAAGTTTTAAGGCTCCATATGGGCAGAATTTCTAGTCACTATAAGATATGGTTTAGATATTTTAATAAGTGATTTTTAACTTGGTGTACTTGTTCACATTTGTATTTTTTTCATATAGATCATATGCCTGTGACTCAGAATGAACAGGAAAACAAATCAAATGCATTTCCCTCTACATCATATGAAAACTACTTTCCAGAAGACTGTATTTTTCTGTATGTATATAAATTTAATACTTTTGCTCCTAAGAGATGTAGTCAAAATAATTCAACATTAAAGAAGATAAAATACATAATATGGTTCTTTCGCACTAAAAATGATTAAAAAGTTATACATTTTAGTATTTTATAGATAAAGGTTCATGAGTACCTTAAGAGGTTATTTAATATCTCTAGGCAATCAAGTCTTTTTATAAAATTCAGCCTCGATGTCTGAGCATTGTATTAATACACTGAAATCTACCAAAAGGCTCTATTAAAAATTGCTACATTATTTGGATCATTAAAAATGTCTTTTAATATCAGTTTGGTTTTTAAAATGTGTAAGTTCTAAAGTGACATCTAAAAGTTTATGTAAATAAGCTAAATTTTTCTGACCTCTTCTTTTACCTCTAATTTTAGCAAACATTCATCTGCATAAAGGAAAATTGTATAAAAACAACTCTGACGCTCTTATACTTAATCTTTGCTTATTTTTTGCAGGTAATGTCTACACTAAAACCTTCAAGTACTAATTAAAGGGAAATTTCTGAAAGTACTTTCTGATAGAGCAAAGAATGTAGTTCCAAAACACCAAAGCAGCATCTTAACAGTGTTCTTAAGTTCTTGCCCTATTTTTATTTGTCCTTTCAGTTGAATATTAAATTAATTCCCCCAGAATTCTTAATATAGGGCTGAAGGCATGACTCAAGGAGTAGAGTACCTACTTAGAAAGTGGTGAAGCCCTGAGTTCAAATTCTAGTACTAAGCATAGAATTCTTTTTCTGTTTTCATTTTAATGTATGTAGAAGTTGTAGACAGACACTATTGCATATGATTTGCATTTACAAATATTAGCAATGTCAACACAGTTTGAGTTAAGTCTCCAAGGCCCATAAAACTTACTTTAAGATGCATAGGGAAAGCTTAAGTTCATACTTCTATATGATTTCCTAACTGGATTTTAGTCACTCACAAGTCAATTGTTCTGTTTTGTTTTGCTTTTTTAGAAATTCTTTCCATCTGATACACAGTATAAAATATAATTAGTTTATTAGAATGTATTAATTGTACAAAGTAAAAGGTTTCATTGGGATATTTTTGTACATTTATATAATATACTTTGATCATGTTCCCAAACCTCCTTATTACTCTTTCCAACCCCCTCTCCATCCCTTCTTCTCCCACACACACATACCGTCTACCTCTCCAGTTGTCCCCTTTTACTTTTATGACCTTGTTTTCTCTTTTTTTTGTCCCATACTCCCATTTCCCTCCTCCCAGCTTCCACAAATGAGAGAAAGCATGAAAGCATGCAATACTTGTCTTTGTGGAACTGGTTTATTTCACCTAAGATAATGATCTAATTTGTTTTTAAAGACAGTTATAGCTGCATGCTGATGGCTCATGCCTGTAGTCCTAGCTACTTGGAAGTCAAAGATGAGGAGGATTGCAGTTTGAAGCCAGCCTGGGAAAATAGTTCAAGAGACCCTATTCCGAAAATACGCAGCACAAAGGGCTGGCGGGGTGGCTGAAGGTGGAGTACCTGACTAGCAAGTGTGAAGCCCTGAGTTCAAACCTCAGTACTAATAGATAGATGTTAAATAGATAGATGGATAGATAGATAGATAGATAGATAGATAGATATTTGACCATTCTAAATCACTAAAATACAGGTTCTTTTTTATATAAATTTTTCCCTTATCTTGTGTTTAGATAATTTTATTTTAAACCTAAATGCAAGATTTGATTTAATCCTGGTAAACATCAGTTTTTGATTTAAGTTCATTGTAACAACTTACCAGAATCTTTTTGAAATTTAGATCTCTTTTTTATGATTATTTTTGTCCTTTTTAGCTTAATCATCTTGTAAAATAAAGTAACTTTCTAGTCTTTCTTATGGTCTCTGAAAACAACAGGACTAAACCTTTTCACTGGCTCACTATACCAGAAACCTCTTTTCATTATCTTACAAAGAAGTGTTTAACCAACTGTGAATTTACCTTACTGTACTATTGTCCAGCCTATGTTTCTGTAGTACAAGGCTACTGTGAGAACACAATGTTCATTGCTATAGGCCTCTGTAGTATTACCAAACTTACTGAAAATGTATCAGAAACCTTATCAGATTTTGATTAATTTGAACTTTTTTCAAGTAGCGTTGGCTTTTTAAGTTCTAAGTATTTAGAAGTTATAAACCTGATGCTCTCTTCCAGAAACTTTGAAGAAATTGATATTAAACTAACCATTCTGTACTTTCTGGAATCTGTACTTCTTAAAAAAAAAATTTTTTTTAAATCAGCACACATGTAATCCTAGCTACTTGGGAGACTGAGGACAAGGGGATCGTGGTTCAAGACCAGCCCGGGCAAATAGTTTACGAGACCCCGTTTCCAAAAATAACCAGTGCAAAATGACTGGAGATACAGCTCAATCATTAGAATGCCTGCTTTGCAAGCATGAAGCCCTGAGTTCAAACCCCAGTCTCAACAAAAAAAAAAAAAAAAGCAGGGCAGCATTTTTCTGTTTTTTTATTCAAGACCTTGAGTTAATTTGTTTGGGTTTAGTCATTAATAATTGTAAATAAACCAGAATTCTAGTACTTTTTTTAACTGTTATACACCTCAATTTTTTACTTTTGTCTAGTCAACTTGAGGGCCATACTTAATTCTTCCTTCTTTGTTAGTTTTGGCTAACATACAGGGGATGGTGGACTTGCCCCACTGCTAGAAGATATAGGTATAAATTTAAGTCATTCAGCTTTCCTCGTGTGTCATGTACACAAATATGACAGATTTTTTAAAAGATATATGCACACAAGTGCATACCTATATGTTCACACACACAGAAACACACACATGCATGCACATACGTAAAATAGGTGCTTCTCTCCATCTATTACCAGTTTCTTCTGTTCCCAAATAACATAGCTGCTCCAGCTAAACATATGACTTTCTAGTGCTAGTGTCACTTTATGATACTTTTTTTAAATCTCTAAATGTAAATTCTTGAAAGAGAAGATAAGTACCTAATATGTATGCATGATCTAATAGCTTTGAGTACACTGAAATTAATATGGCCATTTTTCAGAAGTGGATGACCAAAGAAGGAACTGAGCAAAAAACAAACATACCTACTATAGTATCTTTATAGCCTTTAAGATGAATACAGTTTATATTCTTTTGTCTTTTCTTTCTTACTTTTTTTGTGGAAGTGGGGATTAAGCCCAGGGCCATGGGCACACTAACCAAGCACATGCTGTACACTGAACTACACCCCCAACCCTGTATTTTTAAAAAACATGTCCGCTAAAAGTGATAAAAGATGGAATATCTTTTTACTTAGCCTTGACAGAAGCTGTACAACCAGTTGGCAGCCTTTGAAGCCATGCTCCTTCTTGAAGTTCAAGGTAACGAATGACAAAATAATTGTCAAGCCACCTTCAAACTGAAAAATTTACCCAGAGGCTAGCATGAGGGCCAGCCATACCAGATAACCAAGCTTTACTGCTTATTGTTGGTTTTCCTCCAGCATTTTTATGTTTTTAGAAGGTCAATGCTAGGTTTATAATACTGTGCTTTAAAAGTGGCCTTCTTTATATCTGATTGTTTTTTCCAATAACGTGATTTTATGCCTAAAGAAAATAACCTTCCTTTCCACAAAATAAGGATAAAATTAGCTTGCATTACTCCTGAGACTTTCAGTAAGTAAATTGTGTTTTCCCCCATCAATAGATGGGACACATAGAAAAGAATTGTTTCTAAGGTTTGTGATTGTGTTTCATTTACAGGTTTGGGGCTGCTTTTAACTTTTCTTAAATATGAAAAGGTAATTCTCCCTTTGTTAATTGCTAAGTAACTAGAGCCTTATGTTTCTTAATTTTTCTTCAGTTAGTTAATTAGATGAGTATTTTAAGCCATACTGACTTTCTTAAAAGCTTAAATTCCAAATTACAGGTTTTACCAGCATATTCATGTTTTTTTTTTTGGATGGTACTGAGGTTTGAACTCCACACTTGCAAAGCAGGTGCTCTACTGCTTGAGCCATATTAAGATTTTTAGTTCTGAGTAGTTCTTATTGTATACTGTTCTAGTCATAGCTAAGTTGTAGATACACTTAAATATCCATGAGGAAATTATATAAAAGTACATTGTAGGGTGAATATGATCAAAGTACTTCATATTGCAAGTATGAAAAGAGAATAACGAAACCTATTAAAAATTGTTTAAAGGGGGTTTTGAAAGAAAAATAAGGGGTAAATTTAAGCAAAGTATGATATGTATATATGGAAATACCACAATGAAAATCCTTTGTACAATTAACATACGTGAATAAAGTGTATTGTAAACTATTGTACAAATACTAGTTCTTATTTAAAAACTAAGGGTAACCAAGATAACTTTATCTCACATTAACCAAGTAAATCCCTTATATTCAAAGAAGAGCTTAATGAGTCATGTAGAATTAATATTTTCTATTCCCTTTCCCCTAAAAAGAAAAACAGGAGCACTCCTACAAAAAAAAAATCATAGCAGAAATGGAGGAAATCAAATGATGACATTTGGAGAAAGGAATGGTATAGAATATAACTTATTCAGTTAAGTCAAGTAAACTTTTGGTTACTATTTATGGAGCACTATAGGGGAATAGCAAGAGTGAGTAGCCTATATCAAAACAGCAAAGCAAGGAGAGCATAAGAATTTATTGCAGTGAAATCCCAATGAAATTTAACAAAAGTGGGTAGATCTCATATAGACAAATAAACATAGTCAGAGTACAGAGCATACAATGATACTTTGTATAAGAAAACACAGTAAGAAAGAACTTGGCACCAAATTATAGGAACAAGTAGTTCTAGGTACCAAAAAAAATAAGGAAATATTGAATACTAACATAAGTAAAATCATTACTAAAGTGGACTAGGGAGTGAAACAACAGGTCACTTGTGGAATCTATTTCTATGTTGGGTAACTCCAAATATTACTCGAAAGTACTAAAATAGATTGAAGTTGAGACTG